AAGAATAAGGCGCGACGTATAGCGCCGAGAAGAGCTTGCACCGCAACAATCTTGCTAACTAACGTTTGCCTGCTGGGCTTCGTTAAAAATAATGAGATGCTTCAAAGCGGCGTCAGCACTTCAATTTTCCCAGAATAGTGACGACTGTGTCACCGCAGCTGCTTCTTCGTGCTGGGTGCAGGAGAAAGGACTCTCTTGGCGCCCTTCCGTCAGAAGTCACCTTCTTTTATTTTTTTTTTCCTCCGCATCGATTATCGCACGCGTTCACACTTTCATTTTCAGTACGCAGCAGAGAAATTCTTTAGGGTTCTCATTTTCTACACTTTCCAGCGACGTGGTGTCACACATTACTCTTTTCCTCGAAGATATTACTTTGTTGAGGTTATATACAACGAAACGAAGGTGGTTCGAGCACCTTCTGTACAAGGTAGTTTTTTTTTTTCGCAACTTCTCGTGTTGCAAACGTGGTGTTGTGTGAGAGAGAGAAAGAGATAGTAATAGTATCTGGGGTTTCGCGTCCCTAAACTGTGATATGATTATGAGAGACGCCGCGGTGAAGGGCTTTGAAAATTTCGACCATCTGGCGTCCTTTAGCCTATAGCATCGTACGCTACACGGGCCACTGGAAATTGGTTCCCATCTAAATGGGACTGCCGTGGCTGGGATCGAATCCGCTACTTTCGTGTCTGCAACAGGGCGCTATAACCACTGCTCCACCGCTGAGGACGGGAGAGACAGAACAAGGCAAAAAAAAAAAGTCGTGGGTAGAGGGTAACCAGGTTACACCTCAAAGGATCAGATGAGGAAGAGGAAGAAAATATATAGAGAAAAAAAACGAAAGAGAGGCCAACTGAAATGCTCCCTCACTTAGCAGCGTTCACTAATTCTACATAAAGACCGCGTATACTTTATTACTGATGCATTTATTCACACATAAATTATTGCATTGCTTTATGGGGTTGCACGTACAAAGCTCACCCTAAATACGTACTAATTATTCAGAAAAGAGCTCTGTGCATTATAATGCTTAATAATGTGAGTGTAAGAGACGACAACTTGTTTCATTATTTCAATGTACTCAGTGTACACAATCTGGTTACTTATAATATTGCATCATTAATGTACATAATACTTCAAGGTAGTCTCAACTTACTGTCGGCGGCCCTTCGTACATCACCTCGCACTACCAAGTACTTTTCAGTCGCCGGACTTTTACTACAGCTGATTTTATTGTATGACGGCGAACTTCTTAATTCGTCACTTCATCTAGCTATCTGCCCTCCTTGACTCCGTGTACTATCTCTTGGTAACTATTCTGTTTTTCAATCCTGCCCATTACGTGGCCAGTATAGATTCATTTCTGTCACTTGATGTCTACTAAGATATCAAAAATATCGCACAATGCCCTTCTTACGTCGTACGAAGGCTGAATTTCGCCTTATTGGCAGATATTACACATTGTAGTAGCCAAGTGTTTTTTTATTATGGACTTCTCGCATTCCATCCCAGTCTTTGCTTTCAGTGAGTTTCAACTAACAAACTTCAAGCTAAAAAGCTTCCACGTTGTCTCAAGGATTGTACGTGTTGATGCATTCTGACATTTTCGTGTGCGTGGGATCTGACCAGCAAGCAATGTCTGTTGCAGTTACTCGACTCGGCTGAGCTAGTTTGTCCGCTGTATATCTCAACATGGAGCGAGGCGCCTGAATTGTTTAAGCTTGAAATCCAGAAAGACACGTCCGACAGAATTTGGCAACCCCTTTGTGTCCTTAAATGGTGGTAACGACTTCGTTGTATCTTGTGAGAAATTCTTCACTCGTTCGCCTACTCCATCTGTCATTTACGCATGTCGTATATAACAGTTTTTCCCTTAATACGTAGTTCGTACACGTTCACAATTGAGTGATCATTGAGCGTCGCAAAGAAGAAATACGGGCGTAGGTTGAATGAGTCAAGTATAGCTGTTGTCTCATTTTATTTGCTCATTTTGGTTTTTTGGGTAACCTTTCTGGTTTTTTTTTAATGAAATGACTTAAGGAAATGTAGTAGTCGAGGTGATGTGAACCTTAACCTATCCACGGTAAGTCAGCTAGGATAAGAAGGAAAAGCACCGTGAACACAAGACAAAGAGCTTCGTACTGTGTTCTTTCTGGGTCTTCGTGCCGGTCTCACATTTTTCATCATGAATGTATACCAGTATTCCCAGTTGGCAGTTATCTTAAAAATAGGTGTTCCCACAAAGTCACCAGATGGCGCTGTATTTGCTCTTACCTTTTCCTTCTGCTTATTTTCACACACACACACACACACACACACACACACACACACACACACACACACACACACATACACACACACGCACACACACACACACACACACACACACACACACGCACGCGCACGCACACACGCACACACGCACACACACACACACGCACGCGCACGCACACACACGCGCACACGCACGCGCACACACACGCGCACACGCACGCACGTACACACGCACACACGCACACACACACACACACACACACGCACACACGCACGCACGCACGCACGCGTACAACTGTGTACAACCACGGAGCGCCCCAGGTCGGAGCTGCGAGAAGGGTTCGCTGAAGGAAATGCGTCATACGAGGATCAGTGCATGAACCCTCAAGGCTCGCGTGTCAAAGAGAAAAAGAGCGTTAACTGCGGTGGCGGAAACAAAGAAATAAAAGTGCGTTAAAGCCAAAGTAAACGCCGATGCTCAGCCTTTTTCTTGGAAGAATGAAAGAAACAAGTCAGAAGTGGGATTACATTTGACAAATGGCGAGGCCCGTCGAGTATAGGCGGGGATGGGAAGGATTTCACGTTGCATGAAAGAGTACTCTTGGCACTGCGTGGAACGGCGGTTTCTAGGGGGATGGGTGGGGTTGCAGCCACTACTGTTGTGCGATCAGTTCTGGGCACCCCAGAACCAATTCATAGTTTCACGTTACTTTCTTTTGTTTTCGCCCTTTTTATGAGAGCTCTTCTGAATAAGGAGATGGTTTTCATCTGAAAATAGCAGAAAGGCAAGTCCACTTTAATGGATCCATTTTTTCATCACCGCATTATATATAAATACGCAGCAAATGGAGCAAAAACCCACTTACACTTGCGGCGAAGTTCCTTGTGTTGACCTAGGACTCTCTGAATCACAAAATCGCTTCTACACCCTTCAGTCAACTAACACGAGTTCTCGCTCATATTGAGCAAAAAAAAAAAAGCATCACGGTCGTGCTAAACTCCGCCAGAAATTATTCCATGAGGTCAACGCAAGTGGCAAATTTTAAACTTAATGTGCAAGGAAAGTCTCATAATCTCTACGTGTGTTCTGAACTCGAGAGTGGGACGGAATGCCGCCTGATCGGGGAATGACATGGACAAAGATAACCCAGCTCCGACCAAAGTAAAGATGTGTTCTTTAAAACAGAGACGATTCGGCTCCTTCACAGGATCCCTGTTCAATATCAAGATGCTTTTTTTTTATACATGTGCCTTCACAGTCCCATCCCTGTCCTTTACGCAAGGACAATACGTTCGATTCAATGATGAATAGTATCCAATAATTGCCCGTATTTCTGATTCAACGATATTGAGGCTGGCCCCATGCGTATGCGTGATAACTATGTTATAAGCAAGGAGTTATGCTCCTGTTTCGCTTCCGAGCAATTCCAGTTTTCGTAATACTCCAGTCCTGAAATCGATGCTTCCGGTTCAAGTTAATAGTTCTACTGGATACATGTGATATCTGAGCGCGAGTATGCTTGCTTGAGCGACAATTAACTGGCATGGTAATGAATGTTCTTTTTAATTATTGCATAAAAAAGAAGGATTGTGTGTGTGTGTGTGTGTGTGTGTGTGTGTGTGTGTGTGTGTGTGTGTGTGTGTGTGTGTGTGTGTGTGTGTGTGTGTGTGTGTGTGTGTGTGTGTGTGTGTGTGTGTGTGTGTGTGTGTGTGTGTGTGTGTGTGTGTGTGTGTGTGTGTGTGTGTGTGTGTGTGTGTGTGTGTGTGGAAAGGGGGTGACCAGTAGGGATCGTTGTGCCACCCGGTGGAGTAGATCTTAGATGCCCGATATTTTTACGTGGCCTCTCAGAAGTGCTTCGGCTGTTCTGTAAAGCACACCCGAAGAATACACTATGGGCTTACGAACAGTAGTAGTAGTAGTAGTAGTAGTAGTAGTAGTAGTAGTAGTAGTAGTAGTAGTAGTAGTAGTAGTAGTAAGTGATCTATGGCAGAAGTGACGACTCCGTTAGACTGCTGGACTCAAAAGGAGTGAATTTGAAACTGTTGGTCACTATAGAGCAGCCAAAAGAAGGCCAAGATGCTCCGGGGCTATGCACACGTTCATTTGTTAACATGTATGACAGAGTACAGAGAAACGCAGCATGTACTATAAACAAAGTCACGTAAAACTTGTGCCACAAACAGAAAGGCTGAGTGCAGTTATATACGTAGTAGAGTGTGCTAGCTTCTGTATCAGTGAATGAGATAACTGTACAATACACTCAAGCATACGGTGACTTGTTGTAAGCACTTGGCTTGCGTTTCCTTTGGCGCAAGCGCGTATGAAACATTCCTTTGCATGCATATAGCGTTGCACTTGTTGCCCTTTGTTGTCATCGATTGCTCGCTGCTATCGCCTGCAGCCTGATTCATAATAGGCGGCCACGCTGTGTAGCTGCGCGCTTCCAGGTCTAGACTCCGGAAGCGCTTTTTTCCAAAGCCTACGCGTCGGAACGGCATTGTGTAGCTGGGGCACGGGGACACTGCGTCCTCCACTGTCGCCGTCGCTGCTTCTGCTGCTGCCGCCGCTGCTGCCTGGGCCGGTGATACCGCTTGTGCTCGAATCGCAGGAAGTCGCTGTGTGCGTTGCATGTGTGCGCGGGTGTGGGCCGCCGGTGACTGACGTGTCTTCTGCCTCTCCCTCCCCCCTTGCCTTTCCTTCCTTCCTTCTTCCCTTCCTCCTCCTTCAGTTCCGTCACCTGGTGGCGGGCAAATTTCAGAAGGACGAAACGCTAGATGATAGGAAGACGACGGCCGTGTTGCATAGGACGCTAACCGGCGGTTCCCTTGACAAGAGCGCCAAGGTAAGGCCTCTTCTTCTTCTTCACACCTCCTGCGCTTCCTCTTTCTTCGTGGCCCATCCCGTCCGCCCACCACTGCGCGTCGTCACACCGGCCCTCTTGCTGTTGTATTGGAACGTGGTGTCGCGTGAACAGCGCGGCTGCTCGCGCAATGTGCCCGCAAAAAAAAAGTGGACCCGTGCCTGTGCTTCACACCCAATGTTTTCATCCTCGACAGCTGTTTGTGTGTGCCCACTCGCAGTGTCTCTCTCTGTCGCACTCGTCCGTTGTTTCGTTGCTTGATCAGTTGATGTGCGAACCTCGTGGTCATCCGCTCGTCAGAGCCTGTATATAGGGCTGGTTCACAGAAATTTGCCTGTACACAAGTCACTTTCGTACGTATGCCAACCCTCTGTTCCCACTCCAACAAATAACACCTGCGAGCTGTACTAACTCAATTGATGTGTCTGAAAAAACTTGTTTTCCATTTCTTATCGCCCTATTTTCGACCTAGTAATGCATTGAATGCACACGCGTTGCACAGTGAACCTGCAAGCACTCCCAAATACCTTGCCCTAATAATAAATATTAGTGTATTGCTGTGAAATATCTGGTGAACTGTGATATATTTCGCCAGTGGCTCTCGTCAGTGTTCATGTGTGTAAATTATAAATCATCACTCACCGAAATCTCGCACACCTCACCGAGGCTGCCGCCATAAAATTGTTTCCGCGACCATTGAACAATTTGATACCTTGTCCAAACCAAATGTCATTAGTGCTTCTACATTGTTTTACGAAATAGTCTGCAGGAATAAACTTCTAGGACGCACACGCTTAAAAGGTTAGTATCAGAGGCTTTTTTCTGCAGACAGAGCCTCCGGTTTGCAACCTCTTATGTTCCAATAACCTCTGGTTATATCCAGTGGCCCGTCTGTCCTACGTAGAAGAATCAACAGATAAAGGGAACCTTATGCACCGCGCCTGTATACGGCAATCAGTAAATTTATTCTTGTATTTTACGAAACAAATCTCACTCTGGTGTCTGCAGTTTTAAGTCGGCGTCTGTGATGTCCTTACTTCTTTCTGTTGTGCGTGTTCGCACGCCCTGTCCTTTGGAGCGACAGCTGACAAGACGTAAAGCGTGGACGTTCTCTAATCTAAACGTTTTCCCTCTCACTATAGTTCTATAGATCAATGCCTCTCGTCTTCACTTATGAAGAGCAAAGACATTTGCTTGTCTGGATATTGCCGTAAAATGGGATCATCTACCCGGCTTCAGGGCAAAGAATGATTCATCCAGATTGCTTATGTAAACGGCGTTCGTCTCCTCACACTGTATTCTTACAATGCGTGCGTCGCTCACGCAGTGGGCGAAGCGCCCGATGGAAGCAAAAGCAAGCTCAATATTCTGGCAGTCAAGCACGTGGCACTGTCGCTCTAGCATATTTCCGTGCCAGCATCGTCGATGTGGTGTCCATTCACAACGACACGCTTTGAACGTGCCTCTACAGGAGTGTCGTGCCGGCAGCAGTCCGCTCTCAGATTAAGTGTTCTCCGTCACGTAATATGATTGCTAGCTCTATTTTAAAATTAATTTTTTTTCTTGCATTTACATTGCTACTCCTTGACTGAACGCTGATATGAGTATTTCCTATAACCTTGTTTACAGAGACAGGCGCTTTGCAATACGTTTGTTTAACTAGACGACCGAACTCTTTCGGAAGAACGAATCCAGCGCCATGGACCGGAGATAACGTCTCAAAAGAAGGCTGGGCAAGCGCTACTGGGCTTCTTGCGTTAAAGTGGCCTCTCAAAAAGACCTTGATCTCAACGTCGTGCATGTTTGTCCTCGTGTGTGTCTGTCTTTTTTTTCTTTTATTTCTCTATCTCTGTCTGTCTTCTGCATAACCCCCATTTCCCCACTACCCAGGGTAACAAACCGGTTACTTTTACCAGGTTGACCTCACAGTGTTTTCAGTCCCTCGATCTCTTTCTCTTCTGTAACCTTTGCGACAAAGTTCTTGCATCGCCCTTAAACTAGTGGTTGTTTTTTTACTTTTCTCTTTACTTACTTATTTAATTATTTATTTACGTATTTATCGTGCATTGACCTCACCAGCTGCAGTACATTCGGCAGTTCCTCTGTGTGAATCGACAGGAAAGCAACCGCCGCCACTCTTGATGGATAGTCTCTGCGAGGCTATAGAGCGATTGACTGGCGCAAACAACAGTGCTACTATACGTTCCCAGAACAATGACTTACATTGCTACTATAATGTTTTCGCTCTTCCAAGAACTACGGCGCACCCTTTTGTGACGTTTCTATCAGTTTATCGCTAAGCTTGACGCTTTCCGCGACTTGTTCGTCGCTGGCACTCTTTCATGTCACGTGCGTATACACATTCTTGTAACGGGTGGCACGTACACCTATTCAGCAGGCTCGAGTAGTGTCCGGCATAGGTCTCGAAAACATCTATCCAGTGTCACCGATCTTCCCGACTTGGCGACGTGTACAATTCAATGCACGTGCTCCTCGTACGTGGACGGATGGCCTGACGCCGTTGTCACGCGACCTGCAGCCCCGAAGTATACATCGCGTGAAGGAGACTGCTGAAAATTCAGGACCACATGCTCATTGTCGTACTTGCTACGGCTGTCTTCATATGCCTCGCTCGGAAGAATAGACTGATGAGGATCATATTTTACTGCTGAGTCTCCCTTCCGCTACGTTGGACAACGCTAGGACATCGAATGGTTCGTGGAACAGGCACGCCCTCTGCGTGTCAAGAATACCTGACTGGTGCTTCTAAGTGGCCCTCTGTTGCCGGTTAAGTAATCATCGCGTATGCTATAGAGATCATCACGTCAGCATCACGGAATGCTTTAGGAAGCATCACGTATGCATCAGTGCTACTCATAACGTATAGTTTGGACTAGATTTGATACTCACTCAGGTTTTCGTGTATCTTATTTCTGAAATCTTTATTGCGTGTTTTTCGGCTTCTCTGTGTATCTCAAGTGGTCCTGTTTTGCTCGAGCTCTATATATAATTAATGAAACACCTAGAGGGTCTTTTGTACATTTTGAAGGTCTTACGCTCCAAAACCAGTTTATTAGGAGACGCGTCTTTGTGGTGGGAGACTCCAGATTAACCTCTGACATGGCCTGAAGAAAAGCACTGGCATTACCATTAGGAGATCTTGTAGGCGAGCTTAAAATATCCAGAGTCACTCCCGCACCATTTAAATAGCGCAGGGGAGATTTGTGGACTATATTTAAAAGGCCGAAATAAGGCTTAGCACAAAAAGATGTAGTTTGATACCTGTGCGTTCTCACCCTAAACCAACTCAATCATGAACCATCACAGCATCACAGGTACCTCACCTGTGTCTTCGTTTTTGCCCTATACCTCTGTACCTGTTCAAGAATGCAATCTTACAAACTAGCCCAGATCTCAGTTCGTGTGGGCTAAACGAGGTTGTGTATAGCCCCACTTAGTTCTTTAACGTCCAGCGAAAATTGTGCACGTGTGCGTTCTCGCGCTCTGCCTCAGCGCGCTGCTTCGGCGATGAAGTGGAGTCGGTATAACAGGGCTCTCGCATTCGTTGGCTAAGCTTCCTGCATGACTGCACTTTGGTTGATTATATTACTCATGCTGTATATATGAAGCAACAAGACTTGCAGGTTCATTCTTGTTCCAGAATGCGGAACATTCGAGTACCCCATTGCAATTTTCGATAAAGGAACGTTTTCTTACGCAAAATGTCATTTCGCTTCGAAGATGGTCGGAATGTAATTTGCCTTTTGGAGACGCGCTACCAAAGTGGCTTATCGCCACTCTATCTGAACCGAAATCAATTTTGTCATCATGCAGACCAGGTCTCTTCCTAACGGTTCGTAGAAAATGGACTACGTTGTACGTCTTACGTTGTTGTTATTGCGACTTGGTGAACAAAACTCGAGAAATAAGTACCAAGACGGTTATTTGCAATGGCTTTGTTCATATGCACAGTCGAACATGCTTTCCAAAAATTTTTCCTTCTCAGCTAACCTCACATCGTAAAGCAATAATAATTTATGGCATTTTGCGTGCCAAAATTATGATATGATTTTGAAGCATGCCGCATCGGAGGGCAGAGACTATCATACTTACGTCAGATAAAATTGCTCGAAAGTTTATTGACTTTTGGCAGAGACTGCGTGCGTCTGTCTTATGATGCTCTCATACGAAACAGTTCAAAGTATGCGCTATTCATTCAGAACTTTAGCATACATGAGTTTTAACAACCGATTACGAGTGGGACAACCTTATTTATTTATTTCATGCGACTGTTCATATATTTGTTTAAGTTATTTTGTCTGCTCTGTGCGAAATAAGGAATAATATGCATCCATATGTAATGTAACGGCTTTGCTATAAGCCAAAATCGCATGAAACGTCTTTAGCTTCATCTCTACTTCGAGCTCCGTCATTCAACTACTTGAGATTTCGCCTGATGTAAGGCGTACTACATATAGCAGGTCATAGGTAGGACATTACCGGACTAAACACGATTATATTAAGTTAGCTACCAGGTTTTAATAAAATGATTTTTACACGATGCTATAATATTGCTTAAGTTGTGGTTCATTTTTGCAATGTCAGTGTGAGCTTTCGAAACATGCAGGGACAATCGCGGGAAGTATTCGCATGCTGTAAATGTTCATTAGTTTTGCGCACAAAAAATGCACTAAAATAATAAAAAAATCGCTTGACATGTAAGGTTTGACTAAACGTCTCCGTAGCTATAAGCAAGAAAGGCAGAGATAGTTATTAAGCGTAATTAGGACGCCCACACAAGGGAACAAAGGTGCCCGTTTGCGTTAAGGCAATACCTTTTTGAATTTATGACTGGTTTTCGTTTGACGGATCAATCTTGTAGCATTATGCCGCGCCACATACACAGTCGTGTACCGCCACGTTGCTGCGTGCTGCAAGATTACTTGCGGCAGGCAGACTGGTCGCACGTCCTTGTGAAGGTCGAGTTGGAAGGGTAATCTGCGTCTAGTGAACGATAGTTTGAGATGATCACACTGGCACTGAGCAACAGAGCCGCCGTAGTGGCCTAAAGATCCAACTAACGTGCCTATTTTAAGCAAAGAATTAGGGGGCTGCATTATATGGTTGAGCTGTCATTCAAAACAAACTTCTGCTGCGTCCGCCCAAATATTTCTTGAGTTGAGAAAAGACCGCGTGGAGTTGTGTGCTTTCAGTGACAACGAAACGTTCCTTCGTCGTTTTGTGTCTTTAATGACCTTTCAGCTGTACGACTTGCCACCAATGACAACAGCTGGTTTTGCACAGAATATTTTTCTGCTCACATAGTTACGGTTACACCGTCGATGAACTTTCAGTGCCTTTGTACACATGGATTCGCTTGTAAAGGAAACACTTTGGTGTGCACCACATACAGATTTCACTCTCTGGCTAAAACATAGTGGCTTAGATTTGCATTAGACTACTGCTGTGTTCACTTTTCTAGCTCGTTTTGATAGACTATCGCCGGGCACAAACAATGTTTCTATGCCCACTTGGAGTTATGGGGCTCACAATATTACAGGGGCTTATTAGAGTATTCCCTTTAACAGTGGACGGTAATGTACATTCTACAAGCTCTGCTCTCCTTCTCTCTCTTTCCTTCTTTTGATTCCCATTCTCTCATCCACAGTGCAGGGTGGCAAACCAGACGCTCGCCTGGCTCATCTCCCTTCTTTCCCGTCTTATTTCTGTCTCTCTCTTTGGTGTCTCGCAAATAATCTGATCGTAACAATAAGACACTACGGACAGGTTCGAATTTCACAACGTATTCAGCGTAAATATTCCAGCAGTAACACACGGGATTCGCGCCCGCTATTCTCGCCGGCTATTTAATTCCAGAAGCTTCCAACGTCTTTTCGGTACGACCGTTACATTCAATAAGTCATTTCTTCCTGTCGCCATCGAGGAATGGAATAACTTACCGGAAGCCATCGTCTCAGAGCGTGACTCGTGCGCATTCAAACAACTACTAACAGCTCACTTAAACATGGAAGCCCATTAAAACTCTACCACTGTCACTGTATTTTGCGCTCTTGTATGTGCAAATTTTGTGCGCGCATGTTTTTTATACTTGTATAAGTACATTTTCTGTGTGTCTGTTCTCGGATCCTGCAAAAGTATTGCTCGTGTGTTTGTACAACTTTCTATTTTTTTCCTTGATTTTGTATTTAGAAAAATGCCCCCCCCCCTTATGCAATGCCCCTAAGGGGCCCTTAAGGGTCAAATAAATGATGATGATGATGATTCATTGACGGCGTGAGACGGCCCCCTTCCTCACTTACCGCGGATTCCGATTGGTTGCGCGCAGATGGCAGCCGTGACGTCGACGACTGCGTGCGCGCCCATAACCTCGCACACTGCGGCGGCTCACAGCGGCTCCCTGCCGGAGTTGGCCAAGCAGGCAGCGCAGGTAGCCGCCGCGCAGGGTGCGCCTGCGACCGGTCAGGAGCCGCAGCTGCAGCCGGCGTCCCGGCGCACCGAGGATCGGCCGCACCTGCACCTCGGCTTCGCCGAGCGACTGCATGGCCTCACGGAGAAGCTGCACAGCCACCTGCGAGGAGAGGGCGCCGACTCCAGGGGACGCACAGGTACGCTTCTCCTGCTCTCCTAGAAAAGTGTCTACTGACAGTCTCTTATGTAAAAAAAAATAAACAATGTCGTCGTATCCGAATGGCGTTATCCGAAGGTTGTAGGTACGCTTCCTTCCCCCGCGGCAAGTATTCTTTTCGTCCATTATAATTTCACACACACACACACACACACACACACACACACACACACGCACGCACGCACGCACGCACACACACACACACACACACACACACACACACACACACACATATATATATATATATATATATATATATGTATATATATATATATATATATATATATATATATATATATATATATATATATATATATATATATTGTTAAGGCGTTTAATAGCCGGTCCACAGCGAGCAAGCACAATGGCGACAGTAACGGCCAAGCACGGGCTCTCAGTCCGAGCGGCGTCCTTGTTGGGTAGCCCCACTAGAAGGTACTCAAGAGTTCGACCCATTTCATAGTTCGGAGGCTTCGCTACAATTACCCCGGGGTCGAAGAGGGAGCCGCCTGGCGACCTAACAGCTTGTTATTATGAGCGGGTCATAATAAGCCTTCAGGCGCTCCACGTTGACGATGTCTCGCCCACGGCGGCGCATGTCCGAAGATTGTTCAACGGGTTCGATCAGATAGTTGACGGGTGAGGTGCGCTCGATGACACGGTAGGGGCCTTCGTATTTGGGACGTAGTTTGGAAGAGAGGCCAGCGGCAGAGGTCGGGATCGAGAGCCATACAAGCGCACCAGGAAGGAACGTGGGCTCAGAAGTGGTGCTGGCATCACGGATACTCTTCTGCCGCTCTTGCTCTTGCGTCGTAAAAGTCTTGGCAAGCTCGCGACACTCTTCAGCAAGCCTGGCTGTCTCGTAAATAGGTGTACACTCAGATGGATCCGGCGTGTACGGGAGCATCGTGTCCATGGTGTGCGACGGGTGCCTTCCGTACAGCAAGTAGAAAGGTGAAAAACCAGTCGTGCTCTGAGGGGCGGTGTTGTAGGCGTAGGTGACGAAGGGCGGTATATTATCCCAATTAGTGTGGTTGGCAGCGACGTACATAGAAAGCATGTCGCCGAGGGTGCGGTTAAAGCGTTCGGTGAGGCCATTCGTCTGTGGGTGGTAAGCCGTAGTTTTGCGGTGGACAGAATGGCACTCCGTCAGAATGGCTTCGACGACTTCCGACAAGAAGACACGGCCTCGATCGCTGAGAAGCTCTTGGGGTGGTCCGTGGCGCAGTATAAATCGATGCAGCAGGAAGGACGCAACATCGCGCGCAGCAGCCGCAGGGAGAGCGGTGGTTTCGGCGTATCGCGTTAAATGGTCAACGGCAACGATGGCCCAGCGGTTACCAGCCGACGTCAGAGGAAGTGGTCCATACAAATCGATACCTACGCGCCCAAAGGGACGGTCAGGGCAAGGTAACGGTTGTAGACTGGCGTGCGACATGTGAGCTGACGGTTTACGGCGTTGGCAAGTGAGGCAAGAGCGAACGAACTGCTGCACATAGCGGTACATCCCGCGCCAGAAGTAGCGTTGTCGAATGCGATGGTAGGTTTTGAATACCCCAGAGTGCGCGCATTGCGGATCAGAATGGAAGGATTCACATATCTCTGACCGCAGACTGCGGGGTATCACGAGTAACCACTGCCGGCTGTCGGCGTCGTAATTGCGTCGGTGTAGAAGGCCGTCACGAATGGCGAAATGGCGAGCTTGACGACGCAATGCACGCGTGGATGGTGTTGCGGATGGATCAGAGAGCAAGTCGATCAGCGGGCCGATCCAATTATCCTTTCGCTGTTCGGTAGCGATTATGTCAACGTCAATGGCAGAAACAGCAGCCGAGGATACTGAGCAGAGCACATCACCTTCAGGCAGAGGGGAGCGCGAGAGGGCGTCGGCATCAGCATGCTGGCGTCCATTGCGGTACAGCACACGGATGTCGTAGTCTTGTAAACGAAGAGCCCAACGGGCGAGACGGCCTGAGGGATCCTTCAATGATGAAAGCCAGCATAGTGCATGATGGTCGGTGACGACATCGAATGGGCGACCATACAAATACGGTCGAAACTTTGTAAGAGCCCAGACGATCGCCAGGCACTCTCTCTCCGTGACGGTGTAGTTTGTCTCAGCTCTCGTGAGCGTACGGCTTGCATATGCTACGACATATTCAGGGAATCCTGGTTTGCGCTGCGCCAGGACAGCGCCGAGGCCTACACCGCTGGCGTCTGTGTGCACCTCCGTCGGGGCCGTAGGGTCGTAGTGGCGTAGAATGGGAGGAGATGTCAACACATGGCGGAGCTTCGCGAACGCGTCGTCGCACTCCGACGACCACGAATTGAGGGACCCGTTACTTCCAAGGAGCTTCGTCAGCGGTGATATGATCGTGGCAAAGTTTCGTATGAAGCGTCGGAAGTACGAGCACAGGCCCACGAAACTACGCAGTTCTTTGACGGACGCAGGTTTGGGGAATTCGGCCACGGCCCGAAGCTTGGCTGGGTCAGGAAGAATGCCATCCTTGGACACGACGTACCCAAGGATGGTGAGTTGCCGTGCTGCAAAGCGGCACTTCTTCAGATTTAGTTGCAAGCCGGCATTGCTGACATGTGCAAAAACTTCTTTCAGACGTTGGAGGTGCGTAGAGAAATCTGGAGCGAACACAACAACGTCATCGAGGTAACACAAGCACGTGTGCCATTTCAAGTTGCGCAGAACGGTGTCCATCATGCGCTCAAAGGTCGCAGGTGCATTACATAGACCAAACGGCATGACGTTGAATTCGTACAAGCCGTCGGGTGTGATGAACGCAGTCTTCGGTCGAGCGTCATCAGCCATGGGTACTTGCCAGTACCCCGAGCGCAGATCGAGAGAAGAAAAAAATTCGGCTCCGTGAAGGCTGTCAATTGCGTCATCGATGCGCGGCAGTGGGTAAACATCCTTGCGAGTGATCTTATTGAGCCGTCTGTAGTCTACACAGAACCGCGCAGAACCATCTTTCTTCGCAACAAGAACAACAGGAGACGCCCATGGACTGTCCGAGGGCCGAATAACGTCGCGTCTGAGCATATCATCAACCTGCTCGTTAATTTCCCGACGTTCAGCAGGCGACACGCGGTAGGGACGTTGCCGTAATGGTGGATGGGCACCAGTGTCGATACGATGCGTAACAGCGGACGCACGACCGAGAGAACTTCGCCCGACATCGAAAGAAGAACGATATTTTCGCAACAGGTTCAGAAGCTGGGAACGCTGTACCGACGTGAGGTTGTCATCAATGCAAGGGCCAAATACATCAGGAGATGACGAATCAGAAGTGGAAACAGCACTGATGGTACGCAAATTGCGACAACGCGAGTCATCAGGTACGTCCAGGACTTGTGCGTTATCCACTGGTTCCACTCTGCCGAGACATTCCCCTCGAACCAAGGTGACAGTGTACGGGGATGGGTTGGTCACGAAAATAGAGGCGTTGCCCTGGGTGATTTGCACGGTCGCGAAAGGTACTAGCAACCCTTTCCTTCGGCAAGTACGGTCGGATGGCGAAACGAGTGCAATTGTGTCGGAGAGTCCAGCGCAGTAGACAGATACACCCATCGTGGAGCTTGGAGGCACTATGGTATCGTCTTTCACGAGAATCTTGCTCACTTTCGAAGAACTGTCTTCCGGCGTCAAATGCGAGAAGGGGGAGAGTTCAATTTCGGCGGCGGCACAATGGATGACGGCGTCGTTGCGGGAGAGAAAATCCCACCCCAGGATGACGTCATGAGAGCATGCGGGAATGATGATGAATTGGGCGACATACAGAACGTCCTGAACGACAACGCGAGCTGTGCACCCTGCTGTAGGATGGATACGATGCAAACCGGCGGTACGAAGGGACAATCCAGAAATTGGCGTCGTCACTTTACGAAGCAAGCGGCAAAATTTTTCGTCCATAACGGATACTGCAGCTCCTGTGTCGATAAGAGCAGATGCGTGAACACTGTCCACAAGCACGTCAATGACATTAGATGGGCGGCTCTGAGGGCTTTCACAATGCGATAGCATCGCAGTCCTTGCCTCGGGGACTGCGACGACTAGTTTTCCCGCTCGTGAGCAGCTGAACTTGGCCGCATGGGGGACGGGGAACGACGTCGTGGAGACGGTGACCTACGAGAAGATGAAGCTAGGCGAGTTGGCGGTGGCATAGACGGCGTTTCCTCGTGATAGGTACGCCTAATCTGGCCAGCAACAGGCGACGAGATATGGGGCGTCTGTACGCGAGTGCAATAACGTGCTACGTGGCCGGCGTAACCGCAGGCAAAGCAAATGGGCCGGTTGTCGGATGTGCGCCATCGGTTCGCCGGGGTAGGTCTTGTCCATGACGCAAGAGCCGATGGACGGAACGGTGGCTGGAAAGGCTGCAGGGGGTGCTGGAGCTGAGTCTGAGAGGTCACGTCAACATACGTAGCCGGCATACCCGCTGCAAAGGATGGAGGTCGTGCGGCAGCTTCGGCGTAAGTTAGTGGGGCGGGCGCTTGAACGACTGGAGGCGGCCTGGCGACCACTTGGGCGTAACTTGGGGGTACAGGAGCTGGAAGCTGTTGTGGGTGGTACGCAGGCATAACCTCCGCTATTTCCTGCTCAATCGCTCGGCGGATGGGGGGGGGAAATGGTAGTGGCCGATTGTTGAGCAGCCGGTGGGTGGGCGAAGGGCAGGAAAGAGAACTGCCGTGCGATTTCCTCACGTATGAAGGACTTGAGGTCTGCCAGCAGTGCCACCTGGTCACAGCTGGCCTCCAAGCCTGCAAGCCCTGCATCTCGTGGTGTGGAGCGACGGGTCATCGAACGCTGCCGGCGGAGCTCCTCGTAGCTCTGGCACAGCGTGATGACCTCAGCTACTGTGCCTGGGTTTTTGGCCAGCAGCATCGTGAAGGCATTATCGGCAATGCCCTTCATGACGTTCCGGATCTTGTCTGATTCGGACATGCTGTCGTTCCATTTCTTGCATA